GTGCTCTACGGTATGAATTAAGATAGACCATTCATTCATCTTACACCTTTTCTGGGATTTTGATTTATATTTTAAATCCTAATGTTTGGTCAGAAGTTTGGTTCGCATTTTTAAGTTTATAATTTTAAAGGCTACGTAGTTCCTTTTGTTCCATTGTCATGTATTATTTTTCATTTTTTGTTTTTATCAATTCAACAGCGTAGATTTTTATGTGTTGTAGATTGTTTGGGTCTAAGATGTAGTAGTGAACATTAGGTAACGTATTTTAAGAACCGTTTTAATCCGTTAAAACAATGTAAACCGGGAGTTTTGGTAGTCGTTGTTAATAAAATTAAACCAAAACGACGATGACATGTTGGTTACGGAAAGATAAGAAAACTAAAGCCTCGAATGTGGGATCTGCAAATTTTCAATTTTCATGGCAATGATCTTCTGCTCTGCGTTTTTTTGTTTTCATCTCTGCAACGTTACTGCCGTGCAATGTTCATCTGTTCATTATAATTTCATATTTCCGAGCCTGTTTGGATTCGGCCATACCCCTCTCTCCGGGCACTTTCCATTTATGGCCAACATTTACTCAGTTTCCAACGCTCCTCACAGTTCTCGGTATATTCAGAATAATACATATTCCATTTAATACATACTTTATTTTTAAAAAATAATAGTAGCTTATTTTTTCAAGAAACAACTATTCATATTGGCCCTCCTAATATTTGAATCGCTTTTCCTGCTTTACTAATCAGTCCCAAAGAAATTCAACCCAAATAACAATAATCCAATTTATAGAGGTTAAAGACTACACATATTGAAATAAAGAAATGATACCAAATATCTAATTTGTTCAAACCATACGAAACGTAATAACCGAAATCAAATATGAAGTAGAACCCGCCCGTAGGGCGGGCCGGACCTAGTTTAATTAAAAACATTGAATGTCATATAATTAGTTAATTTATTTCAATCCTTAATACCAATCAAATTGACACATAGGATTAGTGAAAAAAAGGTATTAAAAAGAAAATATATCATCATAGGACAGTTTTAAGTTTGTTTTTACATTATAAGGCAGTTCTTTCCACTAGGGTAGTTTCTTTTAACCAGTTCTACTTTCTATCTGTAAACTAACTAAATAAGTTAACTAAATATTATCTCTACTTTTCTTTTTCGTTAGTTAACTACAGCCCTTCATTCTTTCTCTTTCTATTCTATCTCTTTTTTTCTTTACTTTTTACTCTTTATTACACCGTTGGAAAAAAAAAAGCGGTTCAGATCTATTCCATATTCAAAGATTCATCTGTCGCTGCGTCTTCGGCTTCGTCTATAGTCTTCACTTCTCCTTCACTCAACAGTCACCTCTTTAGTTTGGTCTTTTCCTATGATTCAGACCAGTATTCATTCTCGTGGTGAAGATGTTGTAGCGGTCCAATCTCCTCTCTGGTTTTAGAAGCTACAACCAGATTGGTTTCAGTCACCTCAAAGTTTAGCCATCGTCAATGAATTAAGAGGAAGAAGAAAAAGAAACGTCACTTAGTTTTTTTGATAATTAAGAGTAAACTTATTTTCACTTGGATTCTTGGATTTAATTGGTTAATTACAACAAGTTACAGAGTAAAAACATAAAAAAAAAATGAAGACTGAATGAAAAAAAGCAAGACGGCTTTGAGATTTAGCTGTAGAAACGCAGAAAACCCTAATAGAAAAAGATGATTAATTACAAAATTGCCACTCATTTAAAAAAAACGTGTACAATTATATGTGTACATGTGTACAATTACATGTGTATATGTTTACATATGTGTATGTGTACATTCTTTATTATTAAAACAATGTACACTCGATCACATGTGTACACCATTTATTATTAAAGCAAACAGAAAAAATTTACATGTGTACATTTATATGTGTGTATGTATACATCTTCCCATGTGTACGGTACATTGCTTTAATGATATACAATGTACACAAGTGGTTCTAAAGCATTCTCTCACCAAACAAAAAAAAAATATTTTTCTTGTGTTCTTCTTTCGATCCATCTAATTCCTATCAATATGTGTGTTTTCTCTGTGCCATAGTTGTCATATTCTTCTTTCACGTTTCTGTTTTTTTTTTCATAAATCTTTTCAATTCAAGAGATTAAACTGCTATTATCCTGAAAGTGTACACTATGTACATGTAAATGTGTACATGTGTACACTCTTTATTATTAAAACAATGTACACTCTTCATATGTGTACATTATGTACATATACATGGATCTCCTATTAAACCCAACTCAATCATGTATATGTACATATTTCTTGGTAAACTAGTACTACTCTAACTCGGGAAACCTACATGTTTCATGTATACAACATATATGAAGATAGTGAAAATTATATGACGTTCATGTATTATTGTACAATTAACCTGTGTAGATGTGAATTATTGTATATGTGTGTAATAAAACATTTGTGTACAGTGGTGAATTGTTATTCGGTGGTGGATAGCTTAAGTCAGGTTGAATAGGAGACCTGTGGCGATTTCAGGCGCTCATGGAGGAAAGAAAGACAGAGGTTTACGAATCACTTGTTTTCTTATCAATTTTTTTATATACGAAATTGACAGGTGTAAATATGAACTTTTGTACAAGTGTATAATACATTATGTGTACACATTGATAGCACTTTAAGTTGAACCAGGCTGAATCATGTATATGTACATATTTATTGGTAAACTGATATTATTCTAGATTGGAAAACTTACATGTTTCATGTATATGTATATGAAAAAAGGTACACATGTTTTGTTTGTACACATGTAATCATGTACACATGTACATATATAATCATGTACACATGTACATATATAATCATGTTGTTTAATACACGTAAACCACGCTCCCCTGTCTATACATACAAAGACAAATCTATCTCTTTAACATGTACATGCGTACATTAACATTATGTACACGTCCTCGTGGTCATCCAATGTATTCGTGTACACGAACATGTGTACACTAACTAATGTACACATACACATGATCATCTAATGCATTTGTGAATTTGGAATTGTCTTCGAACGTATGAATCTACATGACTTTGGTTCATACATACACTAACATTATGTACACATCCACGTGGTTATCCAATGTACTCGTGTACACGAATATGTGTACACTAACATTATGTACACAGCCACGTGCCCATCCAATTAATTTTCTTTTTATTGAATGGCAATTTTGTAATTATTTCATCTTCTTCCTATAAAGACTTTCTGTGTTTTCTATAACTCACAGGCACCATTGATTTTTATCAAGCAAGCTTCATTTACCTTTTACCTGTAGAACTTATAAATATTATATGGGTTAATCAGTTAGAATCCAAAACTAAGAAAAATAAACAAAAAAAAAAATAGTCTCTCTCGCAACCCTCCTATTACGTTCTTTACTCCGTCGTACAAAACCAAAAAGTGAAGAAGCTTTCTTTTTCTATTTCCTCCTCGAGGAAACCAAAACCCTTCAAACACAAAATAAATAAAAAATATATAATGTTCCTAACTAAATAAAATGTTTATGGTTACACTTTTTAAAGGGTAAATTGAGTCTTTCACCAAATAAGTACCCTAAGAGTAAGAACTGCCTTATCTTGTTAATAAAAACTCAAAACTGCCCTATTATGAAAATTACTCTATTAAAAATAGCTTTAAAAAAGAGAGAAGAGATCGCCGTTAACGAAGGTATAAGACATGTTCTCCGTCCGTTTCTGACAAGTTTGAGCTTCCAATTATATGCTTTAAAATCCAATTTAGCTTTCACATTCTCCAAATCAAATCAAACCATGTTTCTTTATAAGCTAGAAAGATCAGCTTTTGTCTGTAAAAGCAGAGTTGCTGACGATGAAGAAGATGATGGTATGGGATTCATACTTGCAGGCCCAGGGAGGAATACTCCATCCTATCTTTTTCCTTATACAAATCAAATCCTCGGTAGTGCTCAATTGTAGTTCTTGCGGTAACACTCCACGTACATTTTTTTAGTATTTTTGGTTTTCAATTTTTTGTTCAACAAACTGTGGAAGTTTTAACAGGTTTCTATGCATATACGTGAATAATAAGTTTAGTCAACAGTGGGGATGTTAATATGGTAAAACCCACCCCATTTAAACCCACCCCATTTAAGACCCACCCCATTTAGAATTCATATCCATTTAGATCCATTTAAAAATAAGTTTATTAGGGCTACCCATTTAAATGTAGTTATTTTACTCTAACCCATTTAAACTCATTTATACCCATTTAAACTGTTGTTGATTTTTTATTCTAATTTTCTGTTTCAATTAAAATTACGTTTTCCTGCGAAAACCGAGAAATCACGTTTTCCCGCCAAAACCGAGAAATCACGTTTTCCCGCCAAAATCGAGAAATTACGTTTTCCCGCCAAAACCGAGAAATCACGTTTTCCCGCCAAAACCGAGAAATTATATTTTCCCGCCAAAACCGAGAAATTACGTTTTCCCGCCAAAACTGAAAAAATTGCATTTTCCCGCCAAAACCGAGAAATTACGTTTTCTCGCCAAAACCGAGAAATTACGTTTTCCCGCCAAAACCGAGAAATTACGTTTTCCCGCCAAAACTGAGAAATTACGTTTTCCCGCCAAAACCGAGAAATTAGGTTTTCTCGGTAAAACCGAGAAATTACATTTTCCCGCCAAAACCGAGAAATTACATTTTCCAACAAAACCGAGAAATGACGTTTTTGGCGTAAAATCTCAATTTTGGTTTTGGCAAGAAAAATTTTATTTTTGGTTTTGGCGGCAAATCTCGATTTTCAATTTTGGTGGAAAATCTCAGTATTAACGGAAAACGCGATAAAATGTGTGAAAAAAAACAAATGGACTAAATTTAAGTTACTAAAAAATATAAATGGGTTATACGGGTCCCCAATTATTTTAGACAAAACCCATTTAATAAATAAGTCTTAATAGGGTTACCCATTTAAAACCCGACTTGTTAAATGGGTCTAAATGGGCATTTATTTTTTCAAGAACCCATTTAAAACCCATGAAAATAAACCCATCTTAACATCCCTAGTCAACAGTACAAAGCGACTATTGGAGCTGATTTTGTCACCAAGGAGCTTCAAAACGTTGACGTGCTCGTCACACTGCAAGTATGTTTCTTCTCTTGTCTTCTTATCTGCTTTTTGTTTTAGTTTATAGTCTATATGTTTGTTTCTGTGTGTGTTTTAGATTTGGGACAGAGCTGGGCAAGAGAGGTTCCAGGTCTTGGTGTTGCTTTCTACAGTACAGAGGTGCATATTGTTGTGTGCTTGTTTATGATGTTAATTACCTCAGTCATTTTGATTCTCTGGACAGTTGGCCAAGAAGTTCTTAAGCAGGTTCTTTTGTCCTTTGTACCTTTCTTCTCCAATTATTTTTCTGAAAGATTCTTAGGCTAGCCCACGGTAGTGCTCAAGCAGCGTTCCCGTTCATGTTTCTTGGTAACAAGGTTGATATTGATGGAGGAAACAGTCAAGTGGTAAGTTAGCCTTAGCTTCTTGATATAGACAAAATTGAAAAGATGAGGAAGTAATAATATTGTTATTGTTATGAATGATATAATATGATTACTATAACAGTTGTAAGTGTTTGTAATAACTAAGTGTTATGTTCCATGTGTTGATGTAATACATTAACTTCAGATATCAGAGAAGAAAGCTTGAGAATGGTGTGCTCAAAAGGGAACAGATGCTATAACAGAGACATCGACCAGAAACATTTTTCTTGAATTTGGCAAATATTTCAAGGGGATTCCAGAGCCTGAGCAAAGAGGAGGATGTACTTCCTGAAGAGAAATATCAGTCTTAAGCTATGTTTGATTTTTGCCATTAGTTTTCTTCAGTCTTTTGATCTTTTGGTGGTTCAGAGATTTGTTTGCACCCAGTTGTTAAAGTAGTAGGAAAAACTCGGTAATATATCTCAAAGTTTAAAGTCCTGGCATATCCATTCATCACCTGTAAGTCACGCTATTAATTACTTGAGAGCTGCTTCCTATTATCAAATTTCAAAAGAATTCTCAAACCTTAGAGATAATATCAAGGGCACGTTCTATTCTTTGGCAAACAAAGCTTCCTTTCTTTTCTATGGGCAATGAAGAAGAACAAGCCGATGGAGATCACGGACGAGCTTCCTATACTTTCGTTAACGGCGACATTTTTTTTTAAGCTATTTTCCTTTTTTTTAAAAAAAATTAATATTTTTTTCACTAATCCTATGTATCAATTTGTTTAGTGTTAACGATTGAGGTAAATTAAAGAATTCACCACAGGAAGTGAACCCAAATTTTATGTTTAAATATATTAGAGATTTTTTCCGTGCTACATACGGATAATTGCTTTGATTATTTTTATTTTAGTGTTTAATGAACTGTGACGTTGCACATAAAAATACACTGTGACATATTTAGTTTGGATAAGTATAAAAGTAATGTATTTATATTTCATCTTCATAGTAAACGGTTCAATTTATCACTAAATAGTCTGTTTTAATTTTAGTTTAAATACTTTTAGATTATTAGAAGAATTTGAAACGTGTGTGTGATCAAGGATTGACATTGAAAAAATGACAAATTTTAACCATACTGGTAGCTTTCACTTGTTTGTGATAAGGCGAATATCGAAACAAAGAAATCAATTTCTTGAGAAAGAAAAAACTTCTTTTTTTAATTACAGTAACTTACTGACTGTACACGATTTGAGTAAGATAAAAAGAAATTTGCAATTTTTACTTTTCGAATTTCAAATATAGAGTTATATGATATGGATATTTCATGTTCTTTTTTGGAATAAAAAATGGAAGTGAGACCAATACCCCCAATGGTTTATTCCAATCTGAAGAAAATAAATGTTTGTCTGCAACATAGACACTAAGTATCATAACTCTATGTACGGTTTAAATAATTGTATATCCCATGGAAAATATAATATATGGACGAACCTCTCCTACACATTCTCCACTGACCTCGCCTTGTAAACCTGCTACTTCGCTTCAATGTCGATGATTTTTATGTATTCCAGTTGGACTTTAAATATTTTTTAATACTTGCTTAGCAATTGTGTATGTTTTCGCTTCAATGACGAAAAGAAAATCATCCCCTATATATTATTTGAGAAGCATTACAACATTCTTTGGTAGGCACGTGTCAGCATGAGAATGCTTCTCAAATTTACTAGAGAAAAATGTTGGTCCATATAAACATATAATATACTTTTTATTAGCTTAAACATAACACTATTATTAATGCTATTCATTATTTCCTTAAATAAAATTTACAGAATTACTTAATATGGTTACAATATATATTTGACAATTAATGATTTGAATATGAAGATTTGATAAAACAAATTATAGCATCTACTATTTTTGTTAAATTTAATTATAAAAATAAATTAAACAATATCATTAACTATATAACAAAAAATTAGATTTTTATGTATGTTATATTTAAATTTTTTAAAAACGACTATAAATTAATAAAACACTGAAAATTTTCAATTATAATATTTTTGATTAATAGTTTAAATCTCCTATATGTTGGAGCATTACAACATTTTTTGGTAGCCACGTGTCACAATGAGAATGATTTTCATAACTCTTAGAGAAATATGTTGGTCCAACTAAACATACGTTTATTTTTATTATACCAACTATCATATTTAATTAGTAGTGTAGAAAAAAAGATTTTTTATTCTTTTCTTAAATAAAAGTTACGTAATTACCTAATATGATTAACATATATATCACAATTAATGTTTATGAATAATAAATATTTGATAACAATTTTTTATACTCTTTATGTTTTATATAATTTATATTATTAAAAGAAATTAAAAAATCACATTAATTATATAATAAGAAAATTATATTTTTTCTTATACGTTATATTTTAATTCTTTTTAAAACGACCATAAATTACTTAAGATGGTAAAAATCTCACACTGAAATTTTGTGATCAATGGTAACGATTTTAGTTCAGCCAATCGTTTTTCTAATGGGTCTTAAACAGTTCATAATGATTAACTAAATGGATCACCCATAATAGAGTGTGTTTTGTTTAAAATTTTTGCATACCCAAAATCAATATGAACCATCATGCCTTTCGTTTTAATTTTTGGTATAATAAAAAAATTTATGGTTGGACAAAAAAAACTAAATCCAAAAAAACGAACCAAATCTAACCCAAAAATAAATACAAATTTTTAAGCAAAATTGGTTAGATATCCAAGCGAATTCGAAATTTTGGTATCTAGATAATCAAAACTGAATCGAAAAATTTCGGGTATCCGAGTGTACTCGAACTAGATTTATATTCTTAAATATATTAATTATTTTTAAATTTAACATCTAAGAATATACAAAACACATGAGATGTTTTAAAAAATTCTAAAATACTTAGAAATATGTAAAATAGTTAAATGCAAATTTCTAAAATAGCCAAAACGATACTCTAAATACCAAAAATATTTGAAATATTTATTGATTTTTTGTCCAAATATTTATGATAAATCAATTTTATGTTAACTTTAAGTATTTTGTCATTCATTTTTCAAATTTATGTTATATATTATTTCTACTTTTAGGTTTTGAAAAACTTAAAGTATATATGAATTTTAATCTTTTTTATAAAAAATTAAATGGGTTATGCGAACTTAAACCCAATCTGAACCTGTAAAAATTCAAACCAAACCGCAATGATCTAAACCAAACATAATCTAACCGAACCAAATAGTACCTAAATGTCTATATTGATAGCAAAATGTATATTTAAATACAATATATTTTTAAAAAGCTCACTCCGCGCATGGCGCGGGTTATCATCTAGTTATTATATATTATGTCTGTTATTATTAGTTTAGAATGATTTTCAAGTATATAGAAATTCTGAACATTTTTTTTTAACACTGGATAATTATGCATTACAAACTATGAGAAATTATATAGACGATATTATAGCCGACAATTCTACCTGCCTTATGCGGATTCACGTATGACTGTATCACCCTGAGCCGCCCTGTGAGATCCATTTCTGACTAACAATTTCTGAACATTTTCTTTACTTGTCTCTTATTTATCGATAAAACAGTTTAATAGTTTTCGAGTTAAGAAAATGTTTATGTATGTTTTTTTCCTTTGCCATGTCCATTTTTATTTTACATTGCTTTCTCTTGCCCTTGAGAAATATATCATTTGATAGATTCTATAGCCTCTCCATTTATTATTTTCCTTATTTAGGTTCCTCGTCTACATAAATCACTAGGTGATTTTTCCGTGCTCATGCACAGGTATAAATATATATAAAATGAAAATTTTATAATAATTGATTGATATTTAGTTTTAGTTTTGAATAAATTTATATGTATAATATATATTAATAAATATTATATTATTCTAATTATACATATAATTTGAATATATTATTGTCGGTTTAATTATTTTTGGATTAATAGTCGGTTTGGTTATCAATTTGGTATATCGGATAATATCTATTTTTCGAATTCAGCTATAATATTTTTTATTCTAAATATAATAAAATTTTGATTAATTTTCTTATTTCCATTTCGGTTGGTTATTGTCTTTAGATATGTAAATATATTATAGTTAAACTATGTATAGCTTAGTATATATTGTGCTTAAAATGAAATCAATAATAAGCTGTAGTGTTTAATTCAGAATTACATAAACGAATATAATGATAATATTTTGAAATCTCATGCAAATATATAAATTCTAAAAAAAAAATTGTAATTGGTTAATATTTTCTTTTTCTTTTTAATATGCTCTGAGTCAACCTCTAATTTATATGTATAAAATTAAATAGATTATTATTATTACTATTATAAAACTTTATGTTCTTATTGTAGTTAGATGCTTACTTTTGGATATGAATTAGATTAGTAGACTCATTCATTTTGTGAGTATATTGAGTTAGATATATATTTGAAATTAAAATTAAAGTATAATTATTTTTTATTTTAGTTAAATCAAATCAAATTAGTTTTATTTATCACTTAAACATTTATTTTCATAATATTTAATTACTCTTTATTTTAGTTAAGCCAAATCAAATTAGTTTTATTTATCCCTTAAATATATTTGTATTTTCATAATATTTATCAAATCATATGTTGATTTCTAAAAGATATTAGAAAATAAAGTGTAACTGATAACTTTTTGGATGTTCATGAACATATATATTTTTATTATTTTGAAAATTTATTTTATGTTATTTAAAAATATATATTAATGGGGGTATTACTATTTTGTGAACTTTCCTTTTTAATAAAGTCATATTATATACATATATTTTCGTTTTAAAATTGGTTTTCAAATTTTAGAAATATTTCCTTTTTATTATATATCTTATTTGGAAAAAGGTAGAAAATAAACTAAATAAAAAATAATAATTTTAAAATCTAACAATTCATTAAGGGTATCTATGTAATCAACCATCGCGAGAGTTAACGCATGCGCGACACGTAGGAAACTGACTTCTCAAATAATATTATAGAGATACATACACATCCGAGAGAATCATTTCAAATGTTTTCTTCTTTGCAATGATTTAAGCTTGTGGGTAAAGCCTATTACTAATACATTGTAATAAAATTTGTCACTCCTTCCCGAGGACCACAATTTCATGTAGCAAAGCCTGAACCATCAGAGATCTTGTTGTATACAGAACCAGTAGATGTTTCAGAAACTTTATTCCCAATTGCCACTCTAAGAGAATAGTATTCAGCTTTTGACCCAAGGAGCTGTGCCAAGATTGAAGCTCAGATGGTTATAGCCATGGCAGTTATAGGCATCAACAAAAAAATTCCTGAGCATAGGCATGAAAGGCACCACAGCATGGACCGTCACAAACCATGAAGTTGAAAAAATTGATGGTGTGTTCTCTAAACACACACAAGACGCACGTCTGCAGCCATTCCCATGAGAGCAATCGTGAGCATCTTTGCAGGTAAAGGCTGAAGGCGGAGGCTTTTAACCAAAGTTGATTTAGAAAGCGCAGCTCTTGCAGCTACTACAGTAGCTGAACATCCGAATTTCATAGGTTGAAGGTCATCTTAAATCAAACAGGTGTCAAAACTTCCGCGAAAAATATCATTTTAAATCTCATGCCTACGGAGTAGTTAACAAAACAAAAATGTAACTAACATTGCAGGAATCAGACATAACAAAAACATCAAATATCAAAGTTATGATGTTAGTTACTTAAACCAAAATAGATCTTGCTGGTTTATAGTAGATTGTAAACATGGTACCTGTTGAAATGGTGTGCCATCCGGTTGACAATACTCCAATATGCGTTTGTGGCTTGATATAACCGAATGTTTTAGATCTTGCTGGTTTATAGTAGATTGTAAACATGGTACCTGTTGAAATGGTGTGCCATCCGGTTGACAATACTCCAATATGCGTTTGTGGCTAGATATAACCGAGTGTATGCATTTCCCTGCTTTCACATTCCACACCTTACACCCAAATGTATTTCTCCACTCTCACCCATACATAAGAGTTAGATACTTCACATCAATGAAACAAACATATATATAAATGTAGTGAAGAACATCATGAACATAAAAATCCACAAACCTTAGAAGTATAAAACACTTCATCCACTGGAGCAAGTGACTTTGTGGTTGATCTTGTAATACGATATCAAAAACATCAACCACCACAGTACGATGATGACATAAGAGATTCATTAAAGAAAAATAAAAAGGTTGAATAAATGTTTCATACACCTCAAAAGTATGTCTGAAAGGCCACTCATTTTGCATGCAAATTGTTTGCAACCAACTCATGAGTAGAGATTGACAGGATACCCGAAGAGAGGAAACAAAAGACTGAATTAAAGACCATATTAGGACCAAAAAAAATCAGTAAAATAGGTTACAACAGATATATATATCAACCAAAAATGGTGACATTCAACCGCATGCCACCAACGAAGTACATAAAACCCACCAAGTTTACTTGTATCCGATGCGGTCAAGGTTTTGCAGAAGAAGCGCACCTAGATGGCGGTGGAGGAGGAGCCGCTTTCTCAATTGTATTCTCTTGTTGTTTTTAGAGAAAAGAGGCCAAGATCAGCCTCTTGAAGAATAAGATCATCATCTTATACTCGGCTCAAACAAACAAATTGGAAAACACAAATTACAATCGGATGCAGAAGAAGAGTAATATGCGCTTGTTTTTCCGTGGCTGTCTCTGCATGTAGAATAACAGAAAAATAATTTAAGACTCAGAAACAATAAAATTTCAAAGAAATGGGAAGGCTATTTTAAAATCTACCATCCCAATCTATAACTCCGACGAAGGAGCTTCCATGGAAGATTATAGAGATTAATATGTTGTTTTGGTGGTAGCAACCATAGGCCTGCTCTTTTTCATCATAATAGAACGGCTAAATCAAACAAAATAGAAACAAACACACAGATGACATATTGAGATCTCACATGCTCGATAAGTACCTGAGGAGAATCTTCATAATCATCCTTTACACTGCATCATCATCATAAACAAAGCTACTTTATATGTGCTAAAAAAAATAGGGACACACTCCATACACAAAATCAATATACACATATTTTCTGAAGAATAATCCTAAATCTACATTAAAAAAACCAAGAAAGGAAAACGATCTAGAAAGGTAAATAAAATATGAAAGGAATAATTAGGGATGTCAAGTTTGGGCTTGGACCGTGGGACAGGCCCGGTAAAACCTGTGGCGGGGCGGGTTCGGGCCTAGGATTTGGTGTACCGCAGATTCGCGGGCCTAGCGGGATGGGTATTTTGCGGTATGGGCTTCAGGTAGGACGGTCCAAATAAGACCGTGGTTCGCCTTAAGTACCGCATCTTCTTCTCATCCCATTTTCGTCGACCTGAAAAAAACAAAAAGAGAGAGAGAGTGAGAGAAAGACGAGATCGGCGCCACAGAAATGGAGTTCCGGTTCCGGTTACTCGCAAGGACTCCGCCGGATGGTGGAGGGTCATCTTTAACTAGATTTTGACCCGCTCTTGAGAAGCGCGGGTTTTATTTTGGTTGTAACAAAATGTATCAAATGATTCTATTTTTATTATATGATAGTTTTATATGTGAAATTTGATGTATTTAACGTTTTAGTAGGATCTTTTCATTGAGTTTTGCATAACCGAGTCAGCTTGTGGTTGAACAGAGAATCAAAAAAATAAGTATTGTGAGAGTATGAAAAATTAAATGAAGTCTTCCTCGGTTTTATATCGCTCATGAAAGACAATTGCAAATTATTCGTCATTTTTGTTTTAGTGTTTTCAAGGAATGATAAATATAGTGATTAAGAGAGACTATATTTATAATAGGTAGGGACGGTATAAATTTAGGTTACGCAAATGTAGGGAAGAATATTTAGACGATTTGAAAAAATATTTCTTTCGAGGAATAAGGAATATTTTTTGAAGATATTTTGAATTAGTTAAAAAGTTTAAAGTTTAACAGTTAATGGTAATACCACTACGGTAAGTTGCCTAAATTTATGGAATCCAAAATTGGATGGGTCCATGGCCTATAATAAATTTTAAAAATCAATACTATTGAAAATACCCAAAATTGTATTACAAATTTATAGTTAAATCCAATAAATATGTTAATCAAATTATATAGTTTATATATGTTAGTTAAAATAATTACATTTATGATTTTTGAACAATAAAAATAACATTCAATTTTGGCCCGCGCTTCTTATATAGTTTATTTATGTTAGTTAAAATAATTACATCTATGATTTTTGAACATTAAAAATAATATTCAATTTTGACCCGCGCTTTTTATATAGTTTACTTATGTTAGTTAAAATAATTACATCAATGATTTTTGAACAATAAAAATAATATTCAATTTTGACCCGCGCTTAAGAAGGGAGGGTATCTTTTTGTTTCCCATAAAATAAAATATTAAATTAATTTATGAGAGTCAAAGGTAACTCAAAATTTTTTTTTATGAGAGTCAAAGATAACTCCAAGTATATAAGGAATAATTTAAATATTGCAAGATTCTGGAGTAACAAATGAGATTTGTTACTCCAAGTATCTCATTTTCTGTTTCAATATGCAGCAAATATCGTATAAATCAATTTTCGTTTATTATATCATAGTATATTAATCTGTTTTATACAACACTATGTATTTTTCATATAAATAAACCAGTCAATAAATCGTCAACAAAAAGCAAATATTATTTAAAATGAAAACTATTGGGTGAAAACAAAACGTGATTTTGATTCAGCCAGGATTTAACGCTCGAGAATCATCATTATGCGATTGTCAAAACATAACTAAAAACATTATTTCTAAACAAACATAATCCTAAAACGGATCGATGGAGAATCATCATTACCTCTGCGATTTTGATTCAACCAGGGTAGACGCTCGAGAATCATCATTACCTCTGCGATTATAAATAAGTTTTATAATTTAGTCTATACTATTATAAAGTGAAAACATTTTTATTGAAGAAGATAAATACCGTTGTTTAAATTCATATGTCTCTGGTATTTCAGAATTAACAAACATCTGACTTACGTCATAAGCATTTGAGATTTGGACCTCACTTATAACCAAAAATAAATCATAAGCATTTGAGTAATTTCTTTTGCCAATCGAGGAATGTATGTCTTGTTCACTACAAGAAAAAATGCGTTTTAATAGCAGACGAGGATAGCGTTTTTTACGATTGTGCTATGGTTGATATACCCGTGTTTTTAAGATAGCGTTTGTATTTTCAGAAACCTTATGATAGAGTAGTATATTTAGAAACGCTATGAAAACTTAGGATTTAATAGCAAAACTTAATTAAACGTTATGTTTGCCTATTGAATCCCTAAACCCTAAATAAGTTTTTAAACCTTAAACTCCAAATACGATACTTAACTCCAGTGTTTTTACATCAAAACTTAAATTTAATTCCAAATCTTAAATATAAACTCAAAAATCAATCTTTAAAAAAATTAATCTCAAATCTTAAATTTAATACCTCCCAACCTATAACCCTCAAACTCTATATTTAAACATTTATTCTAAATTCCAAACTTTAAATATAGGCTCGAAATAAAATAAAAAAAAAAATTGTTGCATCAAGTTTACAATTATAAATCATAAAATATTAAATTTATTTCATATGTAATTTAAATTACTTACTTAATCTTAATTTATTTACAAATATACTTTATATAAAAGCATTTGTATGGAGTTTTAGATAAAAATGAAATTTAGTCACTTTGTTAACATTATATATATATATATCATTAACTTTATAAATGTAAATGATGATTTAATTTTTATATACATAAAATTAGTTAACAGTAAAATTTTAATTGCTAAAACAACTATTAAATAAAAACAGTTTTTGATTGCTTACTTTTGAACCATTGATTGCTTTTAATCCAATGGTTACAAATCAATTTTACTCAATCCTTATCCTTTCTCCTTATTGGCTAATCTATCAAAATTAAGATTACAATTTGTAGCCATTGATTATTTTGATCTTGTGGCTAAGATCAATATTTTCCTCACGATTCTTTTTCTTTTCTGAACTCTCTCTTGTTCGATACTAAATTAAGAACGCCTTTTCTTCTCCTTCTCTAGAGAGTCCCTCTGGTTCATCCCCCACGAAGCTTTTTCCTTCACAACAGACCTTCCCGACGCTTCTCTGCTATCTCTCTCTGTCTCTCTCTAACTCTTCCACTATTGTTAGATTTGTTTATATTTTACAAACATGCCTACTTACAAATTATGAAAACTATGATGTGATATAAATTAGATTTTCTTCAAAATATTCGACATGTATCCCAATAGGTACTTGAACTCCTAAGCATAACTTAAATTTTTTTTTATATTTTGTTAAATTAATTTTATATTTGATAAATATTTTGTCTGTTTATTGGAATAACCCATAAAATGATAATCATAAAAATATCAGTAATTACATGTTTCATCATATAATTAAATATTAATAGTAGCTATTATTAATATTTATTTTATAAAAAAATTATATATATATAAAATATTTTAAGACTTTATCTATGATAATTATATTATTATGTATTGGCGGAGGTTTGAAGAATTTGTTTATTATTATTCCGTGTATCAGTTATATAAAATTAAATATTAATTTTTATATCCTAACCTTTTAATTTAAATATGTATATTAAAATATTAAATTATACTTTTTTTAAAATATCTTATGGTAGTATTTTGTTATTCTGTAAAAGTAATTCATTTAGTTTATAATTATAAAGTAGATTAATTTATATCATAATTATTATGTTGTGTAAGTTTTCGTTAAAAATATGAAATATTTATATATAAATGTTATAGAAGGTTATTTCTTATTCTATAAATAAAAATGAGTTAATATTCATTTTTTAATTTAATTTAATATTATTTTACGTTTTTATTATTAATATAATATTAAAACAATAAATATTTATTTTGAAATAAATATATATTAAAGATATTGTTAAAATGTAATCTGAAAAAGTAGTTAAGAGTATCTTTTTGATATCTTATTTTGAATATTTTTAAATATTATATTGATTATGTGTTTATTTAATAATAACTAAGTTTGTTGTATGTAACATAACATAAAATTAAATAAATGTAATGTTTTAATCTAGTATTGATTTGTAGATATTTTTCTATTTGTTTTTCTATGACTTGTTATGTTCAAAAATCTAATTAATTACTAGTTGATTTTCTTATTTCTTTCCATTTGTTACAATTTGTGATGTTAATATGCATTCAGTTTCTTATATATATGATATTCACAAGTACAATACATTTACAACCATTCATTTCTACTCTATCACACAAAATGGCTAAAAACACAATCTGTGCTATCTTTATGATTGTTCTAGTTCTAGGTTTGATTTACACACATATTTTCATGTTTCTTCCTTTTTATTTGATGCGTTTTTGTTCATCATCTTTTCAGTTTTTATAACGACAAGAATTGAGATGATATTAATATTTCTTTTGAATATGTATATTATTAGGGATGGTGATTAAGGACACACAAGGACAAGAACTGTGTCATGAACGTTTTATAGGAGAAACCCTTTGCGTGCCTGCACAGTGTGCCGAACAATGTACTGCAAAGTGGGGAGAGAGAGGAGGAAAAGGGACATGTCTGGGAGGACCAGGAACCGTCAATACCTGCCTCTGCACTTTTAAATGCCAAATCTGATTCTTTTTTTTTATGTTACTATCATGAAATATATTTTAATAATATAATGGGTTGAAAAGGAATATTGCAATGTTTTCAAATTTTGTGTGAATTTGAATTATGATTTCAGTTATTTGGCATCGTAGCATAAAACTATAAACTGATAATTTTAGCATTTGTGTCCTAAGTCAGACGTATCAAATCATAATCGACTTGAGCAACAACAAAATTCAAAATGTTGATATAGAATGATTGAGAAAGATGCGATATCTTAGAAGACTCTTGGGTTACTATTTGCTTGCAGTCACGCCGGTCTCATAGAAGAAGCTCAAAGCTACTTATATCCGATATACAGTTTATGGAATCACATCAGGACCTAAACACTATGCATGTACAAATGATCTCTCTTCCTGTGAGACTTGAACACTATGCATGCCATGTTCTTGCGGAGACTATTGGTAACATTTTGCATAAGAGAAAACTCAGAACCTTCTGCATTTCTGTCTGTAACAATGGAAGCTACAAATTTACAAATTATACACTTCAACCTTCTAGTCCTAGTGGTTGCAGAGGTCAGTGAGGATATATAACCAAAATAATGATATGCTTATGAAGAAACCTCTAAAAATCCAAAAGAGTTTGTATACCAACTTCCAACATCCGTGTAGGGATGTTAATACGGGTCAGCTGCATGCGGGCCTAACGGACCTAACATTAAAAAAAGCTTGAGTACGTTATCCATTTATAATTAGTTAAATTAGACGGGTCGTTATAGGGTAAACCTGTTTAAAAGCTTTCAGTTAACGGGCTGTTCCACGAAATAAATAGGTATCCTTTGATTTTTTTTTTCTTTGTAAAAACCCAGAACAATGTCGTTTCATATAGGGTTTCTATTAGAGTAAACCGGTTTATGATTTGTTGGTTAATATTCCGGTTAATTAGTTTGTTACAATAACTGGGATACTATAAATGTAAACGTTGACTCTCTTTTCCAGAATAAGAAAATATGAGTTTGTTACATCGTCTTTTTCTTTTTCTCTGTTGATTCTAAGATGGTATCAGAGCGTTGAGGATTCAAACCTCAACCGATCCGTTTTTCTTTTCATTCTTTCATTGACCTAGATTCATCAGTGATTCTCTCGATCGAATCCTCTTTCTCGATTGATTTTGTGGTTATTCCGCCTCAAATCTTAGAATCGAGCTTCTACAATGGTGGTTACTCGCCGATCTACACGACGTTTTGGCCGATCATCAACCTCTTCAGCTCGACGAACTTCTATTCCTGAAGCTTCGTCTCCGGCGAACTCTGACACTGACGGCTATCTCCGACTAGCATTTATTCACCATTTCATGTCACTAGTGGTGATCATCCAGGTCTTTCGATTATCTCTGAAGTACTTGATGGCACAAATTATGATAACTGGAGTATTGCGATGAATATTGCTTTGGATGCGAAAAATAAACTTGCGTTCATTGATGGATCTATGGTTAGACCTTTGGAATCTCATGCTAGTTTCAAGATTTGGTCTCGCTGTAATTCAATGGTTAAATCATGGATTCTCAACACTGTATCTAAGAAAATTTACAGGAGCATTCTCAGATTCCATGATGCTACCGAGATCTGGAAGGATCTTCAAACTCGATTCCACATCACCAATCTCCCTCGTTCATATCAGTTGTCACAACAGATATGGTCCCTTCAACAAGGCTCCATGGATCTCGCCACATACTACACCACCTTGAAGACTCTTTGGGATGAGTTAGACGGCGCAGATTGTGTGACTACTTGTCATACTTGTGATTGTTGCAAAGCTATGAATACTAAAGCAGAGCATGCTAAGGTGATAAAATTCTTGGCTGATTTGAATGAATCTTATTCAGTAATATAGAGTCAGATCATCATGAAGAAACATGTTCTTGAGCTATTTGAGATTTACAAACTTCTTGATCAAGATCAAAGCCAGAGAAACATTATTCTAGTTCCTCATGCTACTGCTTTCCAAATTCCAAGTCACTGCTTCACCTTCACCAATGCCTACTGCTCAGTCTAACCTTACACCTAAACAAGGTGGACCAGTATGTTCACACTGTGGTTACAATGGTCACACAGTTGATACATGTTACAAGATTCATGGTTATCCCGTTGATTTTAAACACAAAGGGAATCAACAATCTGATAAACATCAGTCTAAGAAGTCTACTTCAGCTAAACCACTGGTTGCTCAAGTTTCTGTGGATGGAAATTCTAATGTGCTTAGTGGTCTTACTAAGGATCAGATTGAGGGTGTCATTGCCTACTTTAATTCTCAAATCACTTCGCCTTCAGCTCAAGTGAACTGTGTCTCTACTACTGGTGGTACTATCACAGCCTTACCCGGTATGAACTTTTCATATTCCACTCTCTGTTTTATTGGAATGTTGAGAATGACAGGGAATTCTCTTTGTGCTGCGTCTTGGATTGTTGATAGTGGTACAACACATCATGTTGCTCATGATAGAAATCTTTTTGAGGAGTTTTCTAATACATTGGATACTTCAGTCACTCTTCCAACTGGTTTTGGAGTAAAAATAGCTGGCATAGGCAGAGTCAGACTAAGTGATTCTATGGTCTTGAATAATGTGTTATTTATTCCTGATTTTTGACTAAATCTTCTCAGTGCAAGCCAAACTACAAAGGATTTAGGCTACCGATTTGTGTTTGATCCTACTTGTTGCATGATACATGATCTTACCAAGGATCTGATGATTGGGAAGGGTGATTTAATCGCCAATCTTTATGTGCTTGATGCTGCTGATATTGCAGTTTCAAGACCTCTTCAAGACCAGATTGCTTTTGTTTCACATGTTGTCTTTGATTCCAGTTTGTGGCACAATAGATTGGGTCATCCCTCTATGATTAAAACAGATTCAGTCATTGATGTACTTGGTTTAAAACAAAGGAATAAAGGTACTTTTCATTGCGAGATTTGTCCTCTAGCAAAACAGAAACGACAACCCTTTAAATCCAACAACAACATGTCTGATCATCCTTTTAACCTTCTTCATATTGATGTTTGGGGTTCTTTTTCTACACCAACTGTTGAAGGATACAAATATTTTCTCACCATTGTTGATGATCATACTCGTCTTACTTGGATCTACTTACTCAGAGCCAAGAATGATGTTATATCTATCTTCCCTGAGTTCATCACGATGATCGAAACACAATATAAAGCAGTGGTCAAAGCAGTGAGGTCTGACAATGCACCAGAGTTGCGTTTTGAAGAGTTATATAAAAGGAAAGGGATTGTTTCCTTTCATTCATGTCCTGGGACACCAGAACAGAATTTCGTTGTTGAGAGGAAGCATCAACACATCCTTAATGTGGCTCGAGCTCTCATGTTTCAGTCTCAAGTACCGTTGGAATTCTGGGGAGACTGTGTATTAACTGCAGTTTTTCTTATCAACAGGCTTCCTTCTCCATTGTTAAAAGATAAGAGTCCTTTGGAAATTCTTACATCTAAGAAGGTCGATCATTATGATCTTCATGTCTTTGGATGCTTAGTATACTGCTCTACATCACCAAAGTAGTGAACTAAGTTTCATCCTTGATCAAGATCTTGCATTTTTCTTGGTTATCCAGCCGGCTACAAAGGCTACAAAGTGATGGATTTGGAAACTAATCAGACTTACATCTCACGTAATGTGATTTTTCATGAGGATACTTTTCCTTATGCGAAAGGACAACCTAGTCTTTACACTGATATCTTTTCTTATTCGGAAGGTATTAATGAGATTTCTGTTCCTGCATCTCCTGCTGTAGAACCTGCAGTGGTACATTTGGAAACTGCAGCTCCTGTTTCTAGTTTGTCTGCAGCAATTGCTTCTAGTTCTACTACTAGAACAGATTCTTCAAAGAGAGTCAACGTTTACATTTATAGTATCCCGGTTATTGTAACAAACTAATTAACCGGAACATTAACCAACAAATCATAAACCGGTTTACTCTAATAGTTTCTTACTTTCTTCTCAATCTCAATCTGAAAGGAGGCATTTATGTGATTAATTAAGGGAGGTGATATGAACCGATAGTGAAAAACAGTTCGTCTTCTTTATTACGTGAAGTTAAGCATCTGATTTTATATTCTGGGTTTTAAAAAAAAAAACTGGGTTTCTTCAGTATGTAATTGATTCGTTTGTTGAGCTTCAATCTACAAAACTCAGATTTTTCTGTGGGTTTCTTTCATGCAATATGTAGTTAGTGACTAAAGTTATAATCTTCGATTTTGATTTTTAATCATGACCTGGCATTTTCTTCTCAAAAAAACTACTTTTTCCTTTTCATCTGGATTTTTATTAGTTGTTTGGATGATTTGTGAAAGTTGGTTAGTCTTGATACTTTGATTGCTTCAGATTATTAATAAATATTACAATTTTATCAAGAAAAACAGGTTCATAACATGTTCTTGTAATCCCAAAAAGAAGTTTCGTTCATATGATTTCATTCGGAACATTAACAAATATTAAACCGATAAATATTATGGACTCATCACAAAATATTAGAGAAAACAGGGATAATAACTTAATAAGAAAATTATTAGAACTTGACAAAAAAAACTAACGGGTCTTAAACAGGCAGTATCCTTAAACCGGTATTTACAAACTTAGGTTTGGAGTTAAACGAGCTTCAACAGGGTTAGACTTAAACGGGCAGAATTTAAACTAGGCCGTATTATCATCCCTATATCAGTGTCTAGAACAAGCCTCTCAAAATCTAATGTGTCATAATGTTATCATCCCCTATATATTAATCGAGCAACATTTGAAAAGATGTAACCTCAATTTTGTATTAATTAAAAGAGGCCCCAATGCATAGATGTCATTCAATTAGGTAGTCAATTAGATTCAATTGAAAAATAAGTAAGTCTACATTGCATTTTTATAGGTTGCTAGATACATTAGTTAGTCAAACTATATGATATAATTATATGATATGCTATTTTCTTTCCATAAATAAAACCTACGGAATTACCATAAATGAC